GCGGCACCGCCCGGCTGGACCCGCGGGAGCCGCGGAGGGGCGAGCGGGACGGGACCGCGGGGAAAAAGCTGCTTCGGCGGCTGGTTTGGTTTTAGGATTTCGTTTTGGTGGGGTTTTTTTCTTTTTTCCTTTTTTTTTTTTTTTTTCCTAGCCCTATATGCAAACTGTCACTTCAGGTTAGCACAAGACCTGATGTAGCTCATTAGCATGAGCTGTATCTAATATGCTTAAAACTTCTAATTATTTATTATGCACTAATTGGCAGCCCAAGAAATGTCTGCAAAGTGATGAGTGTTTATCCCAAGAAGCCTTTCGAGGAGAATTCAGAAGTGTCCCTGATCAAACGTCATTTTTAATTCTTCACTGGGGCACAGGCTTTATTCCTCTCTTAGATGATACAACACCAAGAAAACTCGAACTTGCTACCCGGATAACCAGCCTTCTCCACCCTGGGCAGGATGGGCAACAATTACTCAAGAATAAGGTTTCATGGTTCAGTTCTTATTTTCATAAAGGGATTGCTTAGGAAGAGGCATCAGACTTTATCAAGTATGCAAAAGTTCAAACAAAACGGTCCGTAAAAATTATTTATCTGAAGGAACATCTTGCCTTTTCAGGAGAAAATCACTTTTCTGACTTCTGAAATTTTGAAAATTATATTCACATGGAAACTGCTTCAAAATAAGTTTACCTCTCTGGGGTTGACGGCCCCCCCTGCCCCACTCCATTCTAAGTGCCTTTTTTTTTTTCTTTACAAGTCTGTATTATGTTTCTTCAGGCCGCACCAACTATTTATTTATCTTTATTCTTTCTCTCTTTCTTTTCATTCATTATTCTCTCTCCCTCTCTTTTTTCCCCCCTTCCTTGTGTGTGTGGCTTCTCGGTCTGATCTGTAGCTTGTTACCACCCACTGCACGCTCTCTCCTGCAGCCGAGGTGTTTCTATACAAACTTCAGCGTCCAGTTGTCATATTAATTATTACACTGAGTAATGACTGAAATAGTCAAAATAAGGGGAGACTCAAGAGAGCTTTTTCTTGCTGCTCAAAGATTCAGCAAAGAAGCCTTGCAACAAAGCACTAATTGGTCCCCAGAAATACTCTGACAAGGCATGGAAGATAGGTTTCATAAAGCCCAGCAATTGTGAAGGGGGAAAAGATCCTTGAATAGACCCCACGCTTCTTTTCTAAACTCTCTTGCTGAGCAAAAAATGGACTGCTTCTTGAATACTGGACTGATCTTGAATGCTATACCCAGCAGAGAAAAAAATGCACCATTTATTGTAAGTTTTTTTTTCCAGCTATTCATGTGTTCTATGTGGAGAATAAGCTGGTTTTGTTTACCATGAAAGACCTTTTACTTTATTTTCACTCTTGGGGGGGAAGCTGGAAAGGCGAGGGGGAGGGCGAGGGGAGGGAGAGAAACACATGTGCCCAAATCCAGACGAGCTGCCTACTGTAACAAAATGGAGTGTAACAAATCCTACAGAAGTCCCGAATGTATCAATTCTTTGAAGATCTATATAGATTAACGACTTTCGTTCTGCTTTTCCAAGACAGCATTTAATCATAAC